TCTCTCACAACATGCCTTGAAAGTCGTAACGGGCTTTTCCCACCTGTGTTCAAATGTATACCGCTTGTTTGGTGGCTGTTTTGTTTCCTCGATTATCGCAAGGAAGCAGTGCGAGCACTCTTCTTGGCTTGTTTTATCACATTAGGACTTCTAGCAAGTGTTTGCGTAATCCTCGTATGATTAGGAAATGTAAAACAACATATGGTTAAAGAGGAATATTGAATAGTAGTCACATAATTCTAAAAGATCAAAGCGAAATTAGCTACTATAGTCTATTAATCCTCATGAGTAGCTCTGCGGAATTATTTGGACGAAAGAAGCCCGAAATAAAGAAGAATGGAGAAGTTGCAAGCTTCATCAATAGTGGAAAGAAACATAACTCTAATAAAGCAGCTGATCAATGTATCAAAAGCATGTATTCATCAAAAACTACATTTTGCACAAGTATTATTGTCTCTATGAAAGCGCTGGGTTCTCTTTAACACTGCATCTGCATCATCATAATTATGCCACATTCTCTTTGCAAAGATTCCTAAGTTACCTGTGCGGAATAAGGGTTCTGCAGACATGAACGTTAAAGCTGAAAGGGGTTTACGAACTTTAAACTGCATCAGGTTCAAAAAGCGCATGCCTTTTTCGCGCACTTTTAAACATCACGAGCTGAAGAAATAAGCATACATAGTCCCGCATGAGAAAGAGAAAGGAAGCAAGATCTAGTTTGGAACGCACCAAATTTGCCTGTTCAATCATACGTTTTTACACTAGGTTTGGAACAATCAGGTCACTAACTGCATGAACGGTTGTTGATTTGCATTTACCTCGTTTACTCATTAGCGTAAATCACCGTATATTTGGCAAAAAGAACCCAGGCTGGAACGCACTAGGTTCTCCGGTGCGATCATGCGTTTTTGCACTAAACTCACAGATCGCTATTAGCAAGAATGGTCCCTACGCTGTAGTCTAACAATTGGGCTCATTGGGCTTTGGTCCTTTCCGGCATGCAGGAGGAAGGGCGTCAGTTGGGATGGAGATGGTACATTATAGAGCCGCACGGACATCCAGGTGCATGATTGCCGGTTTGCATGAAGTCCGGTCGTTTTTTTTGGTAAATGCTTTGTGAAAAAATGACAAATGCAAATTTTTTGAAAAAATGCAAATTTCCAGATCACTAAAAAGTGGAAGTATGCTCGAATGGTCGTTTGTCAAAAAATCCATGTTCATTTACTTATACGACCGCGGTTCAGGTCCCAGTTGCTAACGATTTTTGGGTTGAGGAGCTGCTTGGGACTGTGGTTGGGGGCTAGATAGCTGAGTTTAAAATTTTTAGCTTGCACAGAGAATATCCCTGCAAAGTTTTAGCTTTCTGCACTGCTTAGGTCACAAAATCGTCTCCCACCAACATATTTCTTTGGGGGTCCCGTACGCGGGGCTGAGGCGCGTATGCGGAAAGACCTAAAAACGGGAGGATGACATACGGGGTAGGAACATATATCCAAAGTTTCAGCCTTCCTGCTTTCTTGGTTGCTGAGATGGAAGTGGATAACAAAATGCACTCGCTTTCCGAATACACACACAGACAGCCTCTCGACAATATGCGTTTTTGCTGGCTGTAGCAGCGCTATAGCGCTCAAAAACGTGCAAAAATGAACAATTTTCGTTTAACGGCCGTTCTTTGAAAATGACCTGGCTGTTCAGTGAACAATTTTCCGTCAAGATTTCTACATGCCTGTGTATGAGAACCACGTACACCCGGAGCTAATTTTGAAATCTTTGAGTTGTACGTGGACAGGGAACGTACACTTAAAATTTCAACTTTCCATATTGACTGATTCCAGAGATAATTTTCTGGCCGAAAAACTTGCATATTTTTTTGAGGTCCGTATATGGAACCCAGACATAGGCGAATCTGGGGAAGAGGCGAATGGTCTTTCCCCCGCCCCTTCCCTCAAGCAGCGATACAGGCAT